AAATTGTGACGATCTGAAATCTGATTGGGACTTCTTTTTTGGTTGCGCGGAACAAGGGCAGGTAAGTCAAAATACCAGACCCTTCCCCGCCGTCCACCCCAATGACTGTAGGCTGGGGAATGGTCTGGGCGGCGAGACTAAGGGAGCATTATCTCGATTATCAGATCTACGACCAGCCATGTCGTGAGATCTAGTCGCCATGCGCCAACCTTTTGCGCATGCGTGGTGCAGGGTACACGTGACTTAAAAGAACACTCCTCTGGGTGTGGTCATACTATAATAATTATTAAAAAGTAAACGCCGTGCTTGCGCGCTCTATCATGTATGATGATGCATAGATATGGATGGTGTATGCTCCAACAATAGAGGTGTATGCTCCAATGGTAAAAAAAGGTGTACCCTCGAGGTGAAAGGTGTGTGCTCCACTTGACGTGTATATTACACTTGCTACCAAGTTATTTTTGGCAGCAATCACCTCCCATAGTTGTGTCTCAGTTATTGTATAAACAATTCCAACATAGCATGGAATCATTTGCACCTGGAGTGTGTATATGATAACCAGTCACTATCAGTCTTCATTGCTGGACTAACCAATAACTCAATACAGACCCAGTGTAAGAGACTGGAGGTAGAGTTGTATGAACCCACTGATGAATTAATACACAAATTATTACAACCATCACTTTTATACAATATTCAGGAGTGCTACTGTGAATTATTAGAAGGTCAATATGCTCCCTGTCTTGCATTGTTACAGTTCCTCAATCTTCCTCAATTGAAAATATTGCACTTAATAATGAACTATCCTACTATACCAACAGTTGACAATACATACTACACAGACAAGTGCACTGAACTTGAGAAATGTATAGAAATGAATTCAACACTACAAGAAATGAAGATTGAGCATGATAAAAAGAATGAAATTACCAGTGTCATTAGAGGAGTAACAAGTAATAAAACAATAACATCATTAACAATACATGTTGATGATGTTCCTCCTCCTCTACCTGATGGAGTAATAGAGCAGTTACTAAAGGACAACAACACATTACAAGCTCTTTCACTGTACATACCTAATAAACTC